GGGGGCCTGCCCCACCTCACTGGGAAGCTGTTTCCAGACCCTAGCCGCCCTGACCGTGAAGTAGCGCCTTCTGATGTCCAACTTAAACCTTCCCTTCGCCAGCTTGTGACCGTTATTCCTGGTCACTCCTGGTGGCGCTCGGGGGAACAGGGACTCCCCCAGTGCCTGTTGATCCCCCCTGACTAGTTTATAGCAGGCCACAAGATCCCCCCTCAGCCTTCTCTTCTGGAGGCTGAACAGGTTCAGGTCCCGTAACCTTTCCTCATAGGACCTGCCCTGCTGTCCCTTGATCATGTGAGTGGCCCTCCTCTGGACCCTCTCGATGCTGTCCACATCCCTCTTAAAGTGCGACTCCCAGAACTGGACGCAGTACTCCAGCTGCGGCCTGACCAGTGCTGCATAGAGGGGGAGGATCACCTCCTTGGTCCTGCTTGAAATGCATCTGTGGATGCACGACAAGGTACAGTTGGCCTTCCGAGCCGCCTCCCCACACTGCCGAGCCATGTTCACCTTGGAGTCAATAATGACTCCAAGATCCTTTTCCACCTCCGTGCTGACAAGAGGGGAGTTCCCCAGCCTGTAGGTATGGTGCTGGTTGTTCCTCCCCAGGTGCATCACCTTGCACTTGTCTGTGTTGAACCCCATCCTGTTCTCCTCCGCCCATCCTTGTAACCTGTCAAGGTCCGACTGTAGCCTGTTGCTCCCTTCTATTGTGCCCACATCCCCCCACATCTTGGTGTCATCAGCAAATTTGAACAGGGTGCTTTGCACCCCCTCATCCAAATCACTGATGAAGATGTTGAACAGGGCGGGCCCGAGGACCGAGCCCTGTGGGACCCCACTGCCCACGTCCTTCCAGGCCGAGAAGTTAGAATAATAGGAACCTACTGTTCCCTCTTAAAGAAGCTCCAAGTCACATGAACAAGAAGAGGAGGAGCAGAGATGCATATAAGCCAGGCCCAGGAGTAGGAGCTAGAGTCTGGATCTTGCTTGGGTTGGAATAAGATTCTGCATGCTCTGAGGAGAAGAAGCTGCACAGAACTTGGAGGGCAGGGGCTCGCACGATCTGAAGGGAAGAAAGCCCTGAAGATCTGGTTTAAAGGAGATTCTTCAAGGGGCTGCTTGGTCAATAAGTAATTAAATATTCATGTTCCATTTATGCTGCTGATTAAGTCCATGAGGCATGGGTGTGGCTATGGGAGACACTGGAGGCCACAATTAGAAGCCCCAAGGCAGTGAAAGTGGGCTGCCAGAGGTCCTGAGATAGACAGGCAGGTACCAGAAGCCCAGAGACTGTGGTTGGAGGCCAGAGCCTCAGAGATGGAGATAGCAGGCTGGAGAGCAAAGAAAGCTATGTGGAGGGCCCATAAGCCCTAGAGAGATGGTGTTGAAGGTAGTGAGGCCTGGAGAGACAGTGCCAAGAGTGGAAGCTCCTAAAAAGGATATTCTGGCCTCTGGAGGAAGTCTCCCAAAAATCATCAGAACATTTAATATCAAAGGCATGGCAGGTAGAATGTTATGGAGGCTGGGGATCACAGAAGGCAGATCTGACTGCCAGGAACATCAGACTCCAGGGGGAACCCGAGGCTTGCTACACACTGTGTA